TAACAACAATCATAACTTTAAATGAGCAATGTTACTGCCCAAGATTAATTCCTAAAGGATTTGCCTTGAACTTTTCTTTTTAAAGAATAATGCTGAATTGTTTATGTTGCTGTTAGGTGCCATTGAGTATGACCCATAATGACCCTATGAACAACATACCTAAACCTTGTCCTATCCTGTGTCATCCTTATCATTTCTGACATGCTTGAACTCACTATTGTAGTCATTGTGTTAATTGTGATTGAGGGTCTTCCTCTCTTTTGTCAATCTTCTACCTTTCCAATTATGATGTTCTCCAAAATATAGCCTTTCCTAACAATGCCACCAAAGTATGTGAGACAAAGCTTTGTCATTGTTGCCTCCAAGAAGTATTAGGACTGTTCTTTCTCCTAGATGTATCTGCTTGTTCTTTTGGGAATTCATGGAGTATTCAGTACTCTTTTACAATACTACAGCTCAAAGGCATAAATTCTTCTTCTGTTATCTTTACTCATTGTCCAGCTTTCAGATGAATAGCAAGTAATTGAAAGGACCAAGGCCTAAATCAGGTACACCTTACTCTTCAAGTTGAAATCATTGCTTCTTAGTCATTTGGAGAGGTATCTGACTGCAGATTTTCCTAATGTAATACATCTTCTGATTTCCAGATTGCTGGAGCTTCCCAATTAAAACAAGCCTGGAAGCAAGAATGGCATCCACTTCTGAAATGGCTTGCCTCTGAAACTCTATGAACAATGTTCAGGCCTTTTGTTAATAGGGTCACAATGAGTCATCTATGAATCGATGGCACCTAACAACAATAGCAACCACAACATAGATAGAGCTACATTAGTTTAATGGGCAGAAAGTTATGCTACCAAGCCCAATGTGGATGATTTTAATATGCATCCCTCAGGCCTGATTCAAATTGTTTTTTTGTCAAACATTCTTGTAGGTGGTATAGCACTTGTCTGTGCATTGCTGTACAGAGGTAACTCATAGTTGCTGTGATGCTGAACACTGGGACACTGATGTGTGATATGTGATAATGGTTACCCATGATTGGCAGTGTTTGCTGGAGCTTCCCGATTAAAACACGCCTGGAATCAGGAGTAGCATCCACTTCCGAAATGGCTTGCCTCCAGAAACTTTATGAACAGTGCTCAGGTCTTCTGTTCATAGGGTCACTATCAGTCATCTATGACTTGACAGTGCCTAACAACAACAGTACCAAAGGTTGATTGTGGATCCAAATAAGATGATATCAGTAACTCTTTCTTCTTCTCTCTTCATGTTGAGATGTAATACATATTGAAAGCTAGTCTTTGATCTTATGAATTGATTGTAATATGATCTAATACTGAATTTTTTTTGTGTTATTAGCCAGAACCAACCCATAGCTGACCATCCAGAGGGTTTTCAGAATCAGTAACGTGCATGAGAGGAGATTAGCCA